TCAAAAAATGTCAAAGGAACAAACTTATGCTCTAAAGCTCTCAATACCTTCGACGAAATGGGAATTCTACGTAATTCAGCAACTTCACATGCGTCTTTGCCTCCACTTCCCTTATTCCCCATACCTGGCTTCATCTTTGATCTCGTCCCCGAAAACTTACATTTTTAGTGATGAGTCTTATCTTTTACTTACATATCGTCCTTATGGGACGCTTCTTGATCTAGTTAATGTGTGCACACGCGAAAATTCTGTTCTTGATGAACTTCTCACACTCTTCTTCACCTCTTCACTTCTCTCTCTTCTAATCACAATACATTCTGTTTCTATACTTCACAATGACATAAAACCTGACAACATTCTTCTTCGTCTTGCACCTAATACTCCGTTGTCATCTGACTATTGTCCGAACCAGAACGGATGGGAGGAAAGAGGGTTGATTATGATTGATTTTGGAAGTGCTGTAGATTTGAAGTTGTTTAACAGAGAGGAAAAGTTCAAGATGGAATGGATGGTTGATGAAGGTGACTGTACTGAGATGAGAGAAGGACGTGGATGTAAATGGGAACAGGATTACTGGAGAGTTGCAGGTGTGATATATGTTATGTTATTTGGAGCATATATGAAGGTTATTTGTGAAGAGACACAAGAGAGTGATAAGGGCGGCTGTGGACATAAGAATGCAAGCAGAAATGACTATGAGGACTGCAAGGATAGCATCAAACTTGGGATTTCCAATATAGATTTTAACAACTCGGAGGATGTTGACAAGTCCATATCTACACTCTCTGATTCCATTTCAACTAAACATTATAAACCAGCTCAGCCCTTTAAACGCTACTGGCAGACTAATATTTGGTCACAACTTTTTGATATCCTATTAAACCCTTTTTTATATTCTCAAGATTGTAATACTTCATTGACATCAGAGTTGATTGAATTACGAGATGAGATTGATAATTATTTGAAAGCAAATTGTGAAAAAAATGGGAAGAGTCTGAAGGGGTTATTGAGAAAGTTAGAAGTAGAGTTTGAGAGTAGGTGATACAGTATCTAATTAAAAGTTTTAGAAAGTTGAGAAAATATTTTGGTTCGTTATGTGTTCCATAATAATCAACTTACAAAGTTCCTCCCATCATCATTTCCATTGCTAATAACGATAGCACGCGCTATTCATTAATTGTTTGTTTAGACGGGTATTCGCGAACGCATTTCCTTCAAAAAAAAATGAGTCAGCTTTTCACAATTGAGTGTTCTACCCTTTCTCTTACTCTGTCCCTATATATTTGATTCTCTGTATGCCTCTGAGTTTTTTCTATCAACAGCGAAAGTCAAGTAATTTCCGGAGAACAGGGCTTAAAGCGGAGAACAATTCTCAAACACTTTAGCTCGGCTTGAATAAATGGCTGCTTCACTTCCGTCTTATCATCTCATATACACTGGGGGAGAAAGTTTATGCGGACGGCTTTTTTTTTTTTTATTATTTATTCCAGCCTTACTTTCTACACGTCTTTTGGTGTTATCGGTTTTCCCATTTTTATTGATTGCTATTGTGAAATAAAACATTAGTTTTGATAATTTGACCGGAAAATTCCTGCAAATGGTAAACCGGTACAGACGTTAGCACAAATTCGCTGAGCTTCGGAAAAAAGTGTTCAGGTGGATGCCCGAGAAACGGTTATTTTTAGTTGCGAGTTTTGACTTGAATACTCGCATAAAATGCGACAACGTGAAATACGAGCTAATTTCTGTTTATTTCCCTAATGCATAAACTCATGCTAATATTAATATTTCTCAATCAGGAACTTGAACACGAGAATATGTAATGAACTTTCCTGCATTTATACTCAAAGTTTACGTGCATCAAAAAAGATCTTTATATACGATAACATCAAATTTTTCTATTGCAAATTATGTACATGATCAGATTCTCGTGACGTGGCATATTTCTCCAAGATAATTCCAAAACCAATACAATGCTTAAACGCATTTACAAATTATATAAGGTTAGTGAAAATAGTAAAGCAAAAAAATAACAAACAAAACCAACAAAGTTTGATCAATTGCACATGATCAATATCAAACGAGCGAATGTATCCGCAAAGTAGAAACAAAGCATGTTTTAAAAAGCCATCACGATGCTAATCCATTTCGGAGCGGTATCATAATTATAAAATAGATAGGCAGATTTTTTATAGTATTTTGGTGTTTAATTTCTTTATTATCAAATATCTTGTAAAAAGTAATAGAAACAAAACATTAGCTATAGAATTATTTGTGAGTAAAGAAATAATATTAATATAGCGCTTAGTACTTGTATTAAATAGCCTAGGATCCATGTATTAGTATTCACTCCTCTTCTAAATAAGGCTTTTACTTTATTTTTTTTAAATGCATTGGAAAAAATAAATTATGCAAATGTATCATTTATTTCGTGATTTATTATTACTTCATTTTATGATTTAAAATAAAAGATATATATACACAGTGAGCTCTCCCTAAGTGCACGTTGTCGGGACCATAGTAATAGTGAAAAAAAAAAACCAAAAGTGTGCATTTAGAGAGAGTGTGCATTTACAGAGAGCAAAATATATAATGTTCTTATAAGCTGGGGCTGAACCATACTATGCATTTATTATTATGGAGAGTTTATATAGTGTGTGCATTTAGGGGTGCACTTAGGGAGAGTTCACTGTACCATATACTAATACATTATAGCTTGCAATAAAAGATTATTTATGCTCTATCTAGCATAATACTACACTATCCTTGATAAAAATAGTCCTAGTTAAGTGATTCACTAATAATTGATACACGTATTATAGATCCATATAATTAAAACTATAAAAAAAATTTTCAATCTCCTTTCTTCCTTGCGCAATTTTGGTGATTCATTATCCACGATCTCACTTAGGCCAAAATCAATAAAGTAGAAATGGCGACTTTTTGGCTTGCATAGAATATTTTCTCAGAAATATCGTTGTGTAAGACGCCAAAATTATGCATTGACTTGAGTTGATTGACTATTAATATCTTTTAGTGAGTTTTGTCGGATCAACATTATAGGCGTCCTTAATTATTATAGAGTAAACGTGGAACAGTATGACCTAATATCAATATAGTTAATAATATCGGGAATGAAAAAACAACAACAACAACTGTACCTTGACGTTCTTTCAAAATAGAATAAATACGACCTCATGTTTTAGCATTTTCGTCGTTTCTTGCTCATTATACGCATCGCAGGTCTTCCATGTCACGGATTGACCATCATAATTTCCAAAGGTTCCACCATCTATGTATTCACCTGTTGTAGTGATTCCTTTGGAAGATGATGCAGTCACTCTCTTTTTGCTACTGATCCGTTTCGAAGAACTCTTCCTCTTCTTTGAACTGTAATTATCAGAAGGAACATGATCACCAACCATCAGAGCCATTATCAGGAAGTTGGATTGGTACTATCAGGATAAACAACACGAGAAACATATAAGCTGGTCGGTTCATTTTCCAGTCGTTTGAAAAAGTATGTATCAGAATAGTTTGTCAAAATGCCGAAGTGAAGCCATTTGGCCAAACATCTGAGATAAAATCCTTTTTAAATTTTGATCCGCTATTTGAACCTGGTCAGCATATCGATAAACTTCCCAGAGGTTATCATTATGACTACCTAACTTCAAATTGTGACGCGTTTTAATCTCCACTGGCATCTTGGCCACGGTAGGATTATTAGTACAGTCAACCCTCTCTATAGTCACGCTGTCGGGAACAATGCAACTTTTGTTGAAAATGTGCTTATGAAGAGGTTGTGACTATATAGAGGGTTTTTTCTATAAGTTCAATAGTAATTGGTTCTCAAACATGGCGTGCTTATAAAGAGGTTTTTATATGATGTGCTTATAGAGGGGGTGACTATAAAGAGGGTTGACTGTACATAAAATGGCATCGGGAACACCCAAACATCTCGGACGAAATGTTGCACCTCCTAGTAGTGTTCTAATTGGCCATAAACATTAGAATAAAAACGAATTTTTGCATCGTCCATTAATTTTTCGTTGTCATGGCTGTTTTTCTTGTCTTGTATTAAATAGTTTTATTTATATTGCTTTATGGTGTGGGTTAGACTTTGTGCATCGGTTGGACGAAGAAACGCCACTCTCCCACAATTTGTGGAGTAAGATACTACAGTTGAATATTAGTCGAATATGGAGCTTCCCATATGCAAACTGGGAGAACTTGACTTAGTGATTGGGTCACCTTCAGTGTTTTTTGAAAAGAGGGCTATTAGATTCAGATTCGCGTACTGATTCACGTCATATAGCGTTTCATAAGAAATTCTCCGATTCTAAAAATTGAGTCGATTACTGCAAGTAACTTTAGAGTGAACGAATAACTTTTCCCGTTCAGGATTCCTGAAGGCCTCACTAGCTTCACTAGCTCTTACGAAATGCAAGCAACATAATTTTCGGTGGGGCTTCACTAAATTTATTTTTGATATTGCATTTCTCGTACAAATATAACTATCAATTTTTCTATGCAGAATATCGGTAATTGATTGGGTTGGGACAAAGATGAGTTATTGTTGGGATAATGCGTTAGTATAGACAGTCGAAATTTCTGCAGGCATTAATATAGAACCATCGCGTAGCAAATCTATGTATCATTGTTTCCTGTATCAACAAACATTCGAAACAAAGTCATACATGTGATTTCTACGAATGCCGTCATAACTCGTGTACAAAGTCATACATGTGATTTCTACGAATGCCATCAGTAACCCGTGCACAAAGCACTTGAACATTGCATTGCTTTTGTTTCATCAGACTCCTTTTTTGCCTCCCTCAATAGCTCTCTTGTTCCTTTAGTAGTCGCCATTATTTTCCGCTTATGTTAGTGTGAGAAGAAGTGTTTGCACATTATTATGCTAAAATACCACACCACATAATACCGAGGCCAATAATTGATGCGTTGACGAACGGACTGTAAAATCAATTTACACCGCAAGCACTTGGTGTCTTTATTGTTGTTGTTGTTGTTGTTGTTGTTGTTGTTGTTGTTGCTGCTGCTGCTGCTGCTGCTCTGTTGTTGCTGTTGCTGTTATTGTTGTTTGTTTGTTTGTTTGTTTATATTTTCTAGAGCGATCGCAGTCTATCATAAAATAATAAAATTAGACATGCAAAATATTGAACATCTACCACACGCAATTACAATATCAATATCGTCTGTTACTATTGTCATAGTGAATCAAACTCTTGTTAATATGCCTTTCTCACCATCATACGGTACCGGTACGATTATTATGTCGAACACGATCTTGCTGTGACCGAGTTGGTTCCAAGAAAAGGCATCAATCGACTTCAATCTATCAAGATCGGGAGTGACGATCGATGTATATGTGCACATGGATTTCTACGGCACAGCGTCAGGTATCGTGACGCGACTGAACCATTAACCGTTGAGACCATACCTGTTCACTGTCACGTCACTGTCCCATGACGAATCTATATTATCATCCCCTCCCTCGCACACGAGATTCACTTTCTATCAATTATACTATTCAGTCCCACTATCAGTGATGTTATACGTGAGTTTCACATGATCCGCGCTCAAACTCCGCTCTAACCAGTTATCAGTTTAAAAAAAAAAACAACGTTCGCCTAAGCACTCTCACTCACCCTTGAACTTTTTTTCCCCCCAGCCGTATTTCGTTATCGCTTCTTTGTTCTTTGTCCTCCTCCCCCATAAGTATACAACGACGTCATTTGCTGTCCAAGAAATATATGTTCACTGCCTGAATTTCATTGCTCACATAGTGCACCAGTCCGTTTGATCCCGGTAATGCTGGGCCAAATATGTAGATTTTTAGCAACTATGAAGTCGCTTCTGCGGTATAAATGTAAGTAGGTTGGTACGGTTTATGGTTGTTATGATAATTGATTGGATATTAATATGTTGGGATGTGGTATATTGGTGTGGTTGTAGTTGGTCGGTACTTTTGCGATTACGATGCGGCGACGCTAACATATAACGGACAGCTTCAACGGATAGCTAGCTTTTAATACAGAGGCTTGCAGACTTAGTTCGATGGTTCGTGCGGCCGCGACGTTCTTCGTCTATGCTCGTGCATGACTATCGCTCGGAACTTTTTATTCACAACGGGTTGCATATGGGCAGCGAGAGATATACTGTATGGGAGTTGTCACGTGAGCAAAAAAAGTCTGCATGCAGACGGCAAGGGGATCGCACTACAGCATTACAAGCATCAAAGGCAGCACAGTGGCAGGTTGTTTACCATATTTGAGAATTGAGCAAGATTACGCAACGATGGGAGAGAATGGAACCGCGAAGGACCGCGCGAAAGAATTTCATGAAGTGTTGAAGAAAGTAAGAGTAGAGCATAGTTGAGTGTGTAGTAAGATTAGTAATCGTATGAATAAGTTGATAGACAGTCTTTTTAATGATGAATGCTTTCTCTTTCATATTAAATATGTGCTAAGTATTTTTTTTTTTGTTTGAATCGATTATTTTGACCGCATCAGACGGTTGTAGTCAGTTCATATTTGCAAAAATGACTTTGGCACTTTCAATCGCACCTTGGCAATGAGAATCAAATGTCTGTAGACCGAGCGGGTATCCATTCTCGAATGGCAGCTTGGATGCGACGTTTGAAGACATCGTTGATAAACATCCGCAACATCGCCGATGGTGGGCGAGTGATCTGCGGCATGATAAGACATTGTGTATGCGTACCTGATGGGTAATGCTAACATCTCGACAAAATAGTGAATAAGCTGGGGAAAAGCAGTCTTTCTTT